ATTAATTCTTTTTTCTCTGGGTTCACTCTAAGGCCACATTGCTCGGCCCACCGGCTAAGCTTTGCTAGAGTACCCTCCATGATGTTACTCACCACAGATGGAAATAACCCGTTTATTAAAATCACTACATCGTCAGCGTAGTGACCTTTACTCCTCCCTGGTTAAGCTTGAGTACTACTGAGTTGATAGTGCTAGCCATAAAATAGGAGAGACCCCTCCCCCTTGAGGAGTGCCCCTACTAACGTTTCTTGTTAATGTATAGCTACCAAGTTCAGCTGAAATCGTTATGCTGCGAAGCATCGCCATTAGCTACGCGCTAATAGACTCCTCGTCGCCTAGCTCGTCAAGGGATTTTTGGATAGCTTCTACCCTAACATTGTTAAAGGCTCCTTCTATGTCGAGGAAGGCTGCCATAGTGAATTGCTTAAATTCGAGTGACCTCTCGACAGTTCTAACGACCTCATGGAGCGCCGTCTCCGTGGATCTTCCCCGCAAATATGCATGCTGCGCTTCAGATATGCCATTGCCGTGGAAAAACCCCCGTACGTGCGCGTCCAGAACCCTCTCGAACATTTTGAGAACAAAGGAAGGAAGTTAAGCTAATAGGTCGAAAATCTTTGACGTAGACGTGCCCTCCCCTTCCAGGTTTTGGTATGAAAACCACTTTTCGTCGCCTCCACGACAGAGGGACGTAGTTAAGGGTTATGCATCCTTTCAAAATGGACAAAAGCCATGGCATAATAGCATCCTCCACAGGTATGATGCCATCTGGCCCCAGGCTTTTGTAAGGCGAGAAGGACTTCAACGCCCTTGATATTTTGGGATTTGTGAAAATTGAGTCTGCTATGTGCTGAGCTCCAGCATATCTTCTTGGAATCGGATTGAACACTTCGTCAGAATTACCTGGAAAATGAGTGTTGACACGCAACCTGAGTGAGTCTTCCACAGATTCTGTGGGTACATCATCCGCACTGCGAAGGAGTGACGGACAGGAGTAGTCCTTCGTCAATAGCCTGCTCAGCCTGGCGGTGTCCTTTATACTCTCCAATGTCTCGCAGTGGCTCTCCCATGCTGCTTTTTTTGAGCGCCGAATCTCACTTTTATACTTTTTCATAATGTCTACTGCTAGAAAGACAAAATAGAAAACAACTTTTGCAACGATTCGTATGAATAAAAAAATTTTTCGTGCGTTTCAAAGGCAGTTAAAAAATGCGTAAAATTCTCGTGACGTGCCTGGGCGAGGGCTGCTTGCAGAGCATTGTGTTGTGCTCCTTTATTGGGAGCATTTTCGCCTCGTCGTGCAGGTGGTGTTCTGGCGACATCAGAAGGCATCCAGTCGCTGTCCGTAGTGCGATGTTTTGGGTAGTTTGCAGCTTCATCCACTGCGTCCTACTTGTCCACACTGGTGCTGCGTAATTTCAAACCGGCCGGCCTATTGCGTTGTATGTTGCCAGCAACGTTTCTTTGTCTTTGCCCCAAGTACTGCCGGCTAGCGACATGAGGACCTTGTTGTGGCTCTGCACTTTTTTGACAATAGCGGTTGCGTGCGCAGAGAAGGAGAGCAGACTGTCGAAGGTTACTCCGAGTATTTTGAGGTTATTCACCGTCGGAATTGGTGTATCATCGACGTGAATTGCCAGCGGTAGCCTGACCTCCTTCGTCCAGGTTGTGAACAGGGTCGCAGTGGATTTCGTAGGGGAGAGGGCTAGACACTTTGCAGTGAAGAAGCTTTCGAACACAGGTCATCAATTCCATTCCTGGTCGCCATGATCAAGCAATCGTCGGCGTAAGAGATAATCGAGACTCCCTCTGGTGTTTGAGGGAGCTTTGAAATGTAGAAGTTATACAGTAGCGGGGAAAGGACACGACCCTGTGGAACCCCCTGTTTTATTTTTCTAAGTTTTCTCGATTTGTCTCTAAACATGTCAACACGACCCTGTGGAACCCCCTGTTTTATTTTTCTAAGTTTTCTCGATTTGTCTCTAAACATTACCGACGAGTGTCGACCACTCAGATAATTTGCCGACCACCGTTTGAGCCTCTGTGGGAGAGAGGAAGCCTCTATATCTTCTAGTAGCGTGGAGTGGCTGACAGTGTTAAAAGCCTTTAACAGGTCCAAGGCGACGAGTTATCTGAGTGTTTATGGCGTTCAGTGCTGTTATTGTACTGTGCACTTTACGGAAACCATGCTGATGCTTCGCTGGGGTCAAGTGCTTTGTGAAATACGAGAGTAGCAAGGCCTCGGGTGTCTTCGCTACCGGGGAACGGAGTGTTATCGGCCGATAAGAATCTCCTATGTTGGCAGGTTTCCCCGGTTTGAGCAGTGGGACCACTCTCCCCACCTTCCAGATGTCTGGGATGATGAGAGTGGCCATGGCCAAATTGAGGACCTCCGTTAGGTACGCTACCCCCGCAGGACCCAAATTTTTCAGCATCAGCATGCATATTCCGTCGGGACCCATGGCTTTGTAGGCTTTCGCCTTTCCGATGGCCACCTGAACTTCATCGCAAGTGAAAGCAAGGGGGGCACAGGTTATTGGTAGTTTGTGCAGCCTTCTGGTCACTCGACGCTTGGCTTTGTCCACCGGAGGATGCAGTATGAACTACCGGCTAAAATAGCTCGCGCATCGCTCCGGGTCCGACGAAGCATGGTCGCCGAAAGAAATTTCGACTATGTTGTCGTGCCTCGTCGGATTGGACAGTGACCTCACGGTTGACCAAAGCTTACTCACACCAGAGGTGAAGTTACAGGTCTTCAGATGCTCCTCCCACTTCTTCCGCTTATGTACGTTTACTAGTTGCCGGATCTCCGCGTTGAGATCCCTGATACGGGGATACATCCTGCCGGTACGAAGCGAGCTGCAGCAGCGGTGACAGCCCTGCAGAACTTACGTTCACCAAGGTGGATGTCGGTTGGTGTGGGGAGAGCAGCGAAGGTGTTTTCAGTAAATTCCGCGAAGTCTTTCCAATCAGCTTTAGAAAAGTTGATATATTTTCGGTGCTCCGCGGAAGCAAAGTCGGTTGGTTTATCGATCGAGATGACTGATCTGATCTGATGGTCTGATGCCAAAGTCAGCATAGGTCGCCATGATATGCTGTTTATCAGACCAGCGCTGACTATTGTTATGTCTGGCGAGCTGCAGCAGCGGCCCATAATCCTGGTGGGTGCGTCGTCGTTCATTGTGCAGAATGTCGAATCGTCTATCTGCTCAGTCAAGTCAGTTCCCCTACGATCGTTTGACAGGCTTGAGTGCCAAAAATCGTGGTGCGCATTAAAGTCGCCTACTACCATACGGTTTTCACCTCTGAGGAGCGCACCTATGTCAGGCTGATATCCTGCCGGGCAGCAGGTGACAGGGGTATATAAAAGTTAAATATTTCGAGCTCAACATCGCTTGACCGGATAGCTATGAACCAGGAACCAGGAGTTGTTGGCGGCGGCGTGTGGGCGGTGGTGCGGTTGTGTGTGTTCTGTGGTCTGTAGCAGTTGTGGTGTGGTCTATTGTGTTATGTTGTTGTGCTGTGGTGTTTGTGTGGGACTGCTCAGGTGGACTGGGGTTAGCCGTGGAGGCTGCTCTGTTTGAGCAGCAGGGGCCACAATAGAGGTGGTCCACTGCCGATATGTCCGTAGTCCTAAGCACACTCTGAGGTAACTCCACACCTCGCAAGCATTGCACTTGACTGAGGTGGAGTTGTGGTGTAGTCGTCTCTGGCATACACAGCAGGTGTAGGTTTCTGGCCCTGGGTTTGACTCGATGCCAGCCCTGAGTAGAAGAAAACGTAGCGAATGTAGCCCTATGGACGAACAACTTCTGAGATACTTCGCCGACTTAAACGGGGTTAGATCGCCGAAACAACAGCTCTTGGTTGGGTAAAACCCGAGTCATTCCCGTACGAAGAACCGGCTGTCGTGGAAATGATTGAGAGCGGTGAGACAATCATGCTTGCCAGACTTGCTTGAAGACGAAGCCGAAGACGAATTGCTTGCGTTGCGGGCAAGCTGGCGAGTGTACATAGTGGAAGATGAATGATATGAAGATTTGTTTTTAAATAAAACCTTTTTTTTTTAGATAAAATCAAAAGAAAATAAAGAAAAAGAAGCAATTTATGAAATAATTTGTATAGGACAACTTTTGGAGAATTTCGCGACATGAATTATGTGTTACGGCAAGACGGACAGACATTTTTCGAATATACAAGAATGCCAATTAATACGTTTGATTACATTTTGCTAAAAATTTAGCCAATTTCTTGAAAGACGCGTTTTTTCACAATTGCAAACAGTTAAATAAATTGTAAACAACTCATCACAGCAAGCGATTCGTCTTTGAAAACAGTACCGCACTGTTTCAAGCTGACCGCTTGCGCACCGTCTTCATATTCTTCTTTGCTTGCACTGTGATCACTTTCATATGTTTACTACTGCACTGTTTTTCGTCATCGGCTTCGTCTTCATCTTCGTCTTCGGCTTCGCTTCCACTCTGTTTGCAACCTAAGTTGACGTGTTGAATAATCATTGATGATTTCTTATGGTAAGTTAAATTAAGTTAAGTCTAGACTAACTGAGCTTTTAAAAATGATGCAAACCAAGCGTACGCGCATTTTTTTGATTCGTGGACTAAGGATCCTGCGTTCAAAGGCTGGTTGTGTAAACGCGTTTACGTTGACGTTTATAGTAAGATCAACCACGTTTCTCATTGATTTTAATATTTTTTCCCCCTCAGTGTACATATGTAAGAATGTATATCGATAAAAGGCGAACAATATCGTGCTCCATTCAAAATTCATTTTATTGGAATCTTGAGGAGCTTTTGATTGTCTAAACATTTTAAATGTTTCTTTAAAAAAAAAGAAAAAATGGACAGGTTTGTATTTACACGCTACGATTGTACAAAAAAAAATTTAAAAAAATTACCGCCAGTTTTTATAAATGGCAATTATTAAACAAAAAAAACACAAAAGACCGGCGGCTAATATATTTTTTGAATCGACGGGAATTTTTAGCTGCACATTGTTGGTTGGTTGTTGTAAATTCCATGGGCTAGAAAACTGGATACGGAAAATGGTTCTAAAAATTCAGAGTAAAAAGTTCGGAATTTAGACGAAATGTTTTTGAATTTTTCTCAGTGTTGTTATAGCATGAGTCCCTGATTTTTATGGGTTTGGTTAAAGCGCAAACATCATTCTTATACAAAAAAAGTAGCAAAAAATGTTTACTTAAAAACATTGTGAATATTAAAACAAATACCAAACGCTCTTTTGAATCACAGTATTAGCTTATAATATCCCAGTTGAAGTTTTTTTAATGATGAAGTTTCTTTGTTGCCTTTAGTTTCATCATTTTCGCTTTTAGTTTAAGAAAACCGAGAAGATGCCATTAATATGATCCCAAATACCATATCATTAGTTAAATAAAAAGTTCCTTAATAAAAAAAAGCTAAACTATAATTTTTATTAAAATAACTAAAAAAAAGCTATTGGTAGATATTTTCCAGATTTGGTAGTTGTTTCCAAGTGGTTGGTAAACATTTTTCTTCGTCAGTGGCAACCCTGGATGTAGGCCTCTAACAGTTTATTGTCTCGATGCCTACTTTAGTCAAACAATGTGACAACTAATACATATTCTCAATTGTCTTGTCTTGTGTAAACGCAAGGTTATAGAAGCTGACTTCCAAAACGTCATTTGCTTTGCTTACGTACAAAGTGTAATGTTCCATAACGCCGAACTATAAAATATTGACATTGTATACTTTTACAAAACGCATCCGAAAAGTTATCGAAACGCATCGCTGGAGCAATCAGAAAAATGGAAAATTCAGAAAAATTGTTAATTGCTACATTGAATATTTAAAATATGCATTATGCCATATTGAATATTTAAAATATGTAGAACTTACAACCGTAAAGCTCAACAATTTAAAATACTATTAATAACTAATAACTTAATAATAATAACTTTAACTTTTTCTAACAAGGAATTACAATTTGCGAGATATTCGTAAACAAATTTTGCAATATATAGATAATAATACTTTTAATTATTTTGTATCATATTCTTTAGTTAGATAATTCAAAGCTGAGAACACAAATTCCAAAGTTAAAAACAATTTTTTTCTAATTATTTAACAAGTCGAATGAATTATTAAAGAATATGGGTATAAATTAGAGCTCTAGATACCCGGGTATCGAGCAATGCGAGTAGCTCGATACTCGCTCGAAACTCGTTCATTGCTCAACTGCTCAAATGTTTGTTCAAAATTTTCGAGTTTTTGAACATTTTCACTAACAAAAGAAAATTTGTAAATTGTATTTGTCAGCAGCTGCTTTCTAATTCATGTTAAATAAATTATATTATTAAATACCAATGTAACAATCTTTGCATTATATATCAATAATTTGAAAAATTTAAAAAGTTGCTACCAAAAATGTCAATATAATAAAAAAAACATTGCTCAAATTACTTGAAAAAACTCGAATCGCTAGAGCTCATGCTCTAAAATTTTCGAGTAATGAGCATTGAACAAGTGTGCGAGTACTCGCTGCTCATATACCCGGGCTGTTTGAAAATGTGCGAACAAAATCGGGAGCTCTAGTATAAATTGACATGGGTTAAAAATATTTTATTCTGAACTTTACTTAAGAGGGTTGCCATATGTTTTTGAAATTAAATTCAACTTGAATTAAGGGAATTATATACACAATTTAAATTTGTATCGCAATATGTGTGTAAGTCGAAAAAGGTTTTAAAATCAAAAATTAATTAAAGTAAGCATAAGTTAAATGAAATATTGAAATATGTCGTGAAACAAAGGTGGCAAGATATCCTTAGTTTGAATTTTTAGAATACTTAAAGAGGGTTGCCACCTGTTTAAAAAGGTAAACTTAAACTATTTAGTAAGTTAAAGCAATTATGAAAAATATTTAATTTAAATAATTTAAGAACTGTATTTAGGAGCGTTGTCACGTATTTAAAAGATCAAACTTAACTTAATTCATCGGGCACATGAAATATGTAGGTATCGCAATAACAGACGCCAGAGATTTCTTCACTATACTTAGGAGGGTTGCCAGCTGTTTCACAAGTCTTACCTAACTTATGCACAAATCCGAAGACGAAGATAATGCGAAGACGAGCAGGAACACGAAGAAGAATACTAATGCGGGGACCTAGGCTAATATAAAAGGTAATACAAATTTCTGCAGAATGAAATAAAAATAAATCGAAGTAGTGATGCGCGCCATGGCATATATCTATTTATAAGCTGCTCTATTGCTAATTATTAATTAATTGCAATTCATATTGATTTATTAAATTCAATTCAATACAATCGAA